GTGGAAAGGTAGAAAATCTCTGAGAGGTAATCCTGCACCTTGAATAAGTTAAAAGATTAATGCCGGTCGGTGTACACTTTAGAATTCGTGTCGACATTACCCCTAGATTACGAAACTTAACAATGAATTAAAATGCTTAAAAAATTAACAAAAATGAAACCGACTCTATCGGCGTCCAATCAAAAAATCAGTATATCAAGGACCTATAAGAATCTATACATGGTTATTCTGCAATAATCCTTATCATTAAAGGGTTAAAATGAAAGAAAAGACTATATCTTATCAATTAATGTTGTAAACGTGCAGAGCTTAACGACCACTTAGCGGTTGATGATCGAAAAGTTGTCAAATGTATTTTGCGATACGCAATTTACGATTTATTGTTTGTAACAGCGTGAAATCGATATCTTACTTAAGATGTCTTAAGAAACTCCTGCAGCGTTCTAAAACACGATTCCACTTCGTCTATTTTACCCGTTTAGTTCATATGTAAAAGCGGCACGACCTTTCCTTCTGCCCCTACAGCTGAAAGCTGCGTATTCGCGAGACGGAAATTCCACGCGTGTGTCCTCGCGCGTCGCGTCGTGAGGCGCGCCTTATGTAGCAAGAAAAGCGCGAGATGAAGAAATAAAGGCGGCTCGCTTCCAGCAGCCAACGGACGAGTCCAAGCTTAGACGCACATGAGCGTAAGAAGGGAGAGGAAAGAGGGAAAAAACGAAACATGTACACTGAGAGAAGAGGGAGAGAAAGAGAGACAAACAGAGTAAGTACTCGGCCTCACTTTACGATTCGGCCGAGAGGCAAGGTCGAGAATGCGTGATGGGTGGAGAAGCACAGAGAGAGAGAGAGAGAGAGAGAAAGAAAGAAAGAAAAAGAGGGAGAGAGAGACCGAGATAAAGAAACAACGAGAGGGAGAACGAGCGAGAAAAAGAGGAGTATACCAAGGCGCTCCCTCCTGAGATGACATCCCCCCGCGACCTTGGAACTGAGACTGACCTTGACCGTGTCAACCCCCACCAGCGCATGTCGCTCCGCGCGTCCCGGCTGCTCCACTGCTCCCCGCGTAGCAGCGAGTCTCCCACCCCGCACCCCCTACCCTCCCACCCTACTAGGCTAGCAACGTAGCGCGTCATATTACGCGAGTGTTGCTCGGTGCTGCTGCTGCGGGCATCCTCGCTGCATCGACCGGTCGCAGCGAGCGAGCGAACGAGCTACCTGGTTCCATCCCTCTTTCTTGAAAGAGAGAGAGAGAGAGAGAGAATCCTCCCGTTCCCTCCCCATGGTACTCTCGTTTTGCAACGCTCGCTCGCTCGTCAGCCACCAATGACGGGCACTACCCAATTATCGACTCGGAAATCCACAATCGTACGCAGAGAGGAGCGTTCGCTCTCTGGTCGATATACGCCGTGTATGGCGATAGCGTGTTTTATCGAACGCGGGATGAAAGATGACGCGCGAAGAGGGAGAGAGAGAGAGAGAGAGTGTGGGTGGCGACGGCGGAAAAAGAGGAGAGAGCTCGGGAAATCAGACCTGTCGTCGGCAATCTGGGTTATCAAAATTGAAGATTGTGACCCGCTGACATTTTCGTTATTTATGCGTCGCACTTGTTATTATGTTTTCATCCACAATATGTGTATGCACGAGGTGCGGGAATATTTAGCCGCTCGAATCTATTTTGCGTTCAAAGATCACCTCACCTACGCGTTAACGCAATTTGTGATCAGCGGTTCCGCGATTTTTCAGCGCGAAATCGAAGGAGATCGGGAGATCGTTATTATTATTGTTGTTGTTATTCGGAAAAGTAGCATTGGATAATGATTGAAATTGAAAATTGCCGGGAATGTAGCCACGGCAGATTCGACCGAGGCCGTCTCCTGGAAGGAACGTTTGTCAAGTGCGTCGATAATTTTCATACGACAAGGTTGAAGGGGCGCGGTACAGCGAGGATCCAATATTCCGGCGGAGAATTCGGTCATGGTCGCCTCCGGTCTACGCCGCTCTAAAAAGTCTGCTCCCGCGGACGGACAAAAACGCGGAGCGGAACAAAGCCGCGGGCACCGCCGCAAAATCGTTCGACGAGCATACGGAGATATCGACATCCGTCGTACGCACGGGCGAATCGGGACATTTTTTCCAAGGTTGGCGGAGAGGGGAAGGGGGATGGGGACGAATTCCCAAGTCGATTGTCATAGTATGAGTCATAAATTCAGCGTACAGAACGTATAGGACCGATAAAACTTTCCTCTGTTTTCTTTTTCTCGTATCATCGGAATTGAAATCGGCGTAACTTCAAGCGAAATCTATTTTCGACGAAGCAGATGTGAGGAGAATAAACACTCGGCGATTGTATCGCGTCTTTACTATCGTAAAGAGGCTCGTGAGGAGCGCGATCGTGTACTGAGAGCACTGTAACGGCAATAATAAACGCAATACGAAACATAATGAATTTCCAACGAAGATTAAATTCAACGTGTGATATTCCACTACATATATTGTATATCAAATAATCCATGGTGGAAGTAGAGACCTTTGCACGTAACAAATTTTTTGTCGTAACCGTAAGTCTATAAATCCCGGTCCACAATAGTGTTTTAAATCTAAAACCGTGAAAAATTAATCAATCACAGTCAATTATTTTCCTCATTTCCGACTGTCATTTTCTTAGAGCTTAAAACATCTATTATAGACCGGGACTAAAGTATTCACAGCCAGATATCTTATGTTTACCGTCTTAAATTAATCTTCAGATGATCTACGGCTCATTTCATTAGCTACTAAAGCTTAAAATGGTCTTAAATATAAGATTCGGCTATGAATATCAGCCTGAGAAAACTGATCAATCGCAGTCGATTATTCTTCGGCTGCAAGGGGAATAATAAACTATAACCGGTCAATTTTCTTACGAATTTACGGTAACGATTAAAAATTTCTTCGATATGTATATACACAGAGTACAGTTAAGTATATCGAATATTTTTGTAAAACTGTATTTCTACAGTCATCATTTACGGCTGATTTGACGAATTTACCAACAACTTTACCGATTGGAGGTTGTCAAACAGCGCATTTCTTTTCCTTCGAATCCCGTCAAGTCAATGGTCTAATAACTGCCTCGTCGGTGTCGCGGCCCTCGTGCGTGTTTCAAGAATTTTTGAACAACCCGCCATTCGTGCCGGCTCACGTTGCTCCGTGCGCGTTCCCGGGGAACGTGATATCGCACGCACGCGTGTCGTTTCATCGACCTGCGAGCACCCACGACACGTGAACCGTCGCGAACAATCGTGGACCTTGTCGGACAACGCGAGCGAGACGCACGCAATCACACCGCCACGAGATCAAGTGCGCGCTCAGCTGTTGACCGCCATGTGCACGCCGACGCTATCGGCAAGGTCGTGACTGGCCAACGCAACGCCATGATTTTCACGTTGAAGTAGCACGCACATCGCGTATACGAGCGGCCGAACGAACGCGCCGAGACATGAACGTCAATACGCACTCACCCCTGTCAAATTTCTTGCCCTCCGGATCGATGTCTTTGACGTTGAAAATATCCTCGAACAGCACACCCGCCATCTTGACGACGCCTGATCGCACCGCCCTCTGTCGCCGAGCCGCCGAGTCACTCAGTGCAGGAGCGTGCAAACGACCACGGGGTACCCCATTCCTGTACGCTTCTTACAAAAGGTGCGGTTGGTAACCGCAAATTTCCCTGCTGAAAAAAACCAGGGTCCCTGTTTTCGAAATGGTTACGTATACGTAAGCGTTATTACGCCAGGAATCGATTCTCGAATTCGTGCGATTAGTTTCGTATACGAAAGCTGAGGTCCACTTGATGCTGCAAGCGTTTCGGGACGCCGTACGAACTATCGAAGCGTCAAGTGGATCTTAGTACACGAAATTAATCGCACGAATTCAAGAATTTTCGGACCGGTAGATTTAATCATATCACAAAATAGGACACGATTCTATGGAGTGAGTCAGTTTGTTTGAATTTCATTTCGTACGGTACGTATTGCGTAACGTGTTGCAGCACGCATGATTCACGATATCGTCGACATCGGGTTTCGGCAGTGGGAGAAATGAAAAAAAGAGCGAACGAGCGGATGACTTCGCGAGTTTACCGAGGACCCGTAAGGACGATGCGTCGACGCCGGCTGTTCCAAACAGTCGTTAGAGTTTGAAAAGTAGTTCTAGAAAAGTAAAAACGGAGGATCGATTAACAATTAGGAATTAACGATATTTATTGGATCATCTAGACGCGGCCTTGACGATTGCGAGCACGCCGACAGAGCGAGCCACCGTACGGACATTGGTTTTTACGCAGCAGGACGGACGATTACTCTTTTACGAGCGTTTTAGACGAGGGTCGGTCGCGTCAATATAACGATACGTATCGGCGTGGCGCATTACGTAAAATTAGGGATTTCATAATCTGGCGCAATGCGGAATAAATGAGCACGCGAACGCGTTGTCGAAATGTAAATAGAGTACAAAAGGTTACTTCTGGCGCACTTTGATTGGGGCGCAGTAAAATCATTTGAAAATCATCAAAATCATCAAAATCACATAAAAACGATAAAAAATCAAGCCAAACCATCTCACAAATCGCATAAAAACAAGGAAAACCTCATCCCCCGATCGCTATCTTGAAATAAAAAAACATTTACTACCTTCTCTGTAATTCGGTTCGCGTTCTCTCCATCGTCTTAATATGTTGATCAATTTTGTAGCTGACGTGCGTTCGCAATATTGAATGCTCCGATTAAGAAACACCTGTCTAATATCATACACTGTCAGTATAAAGAGTTCGTTCATTTCGCGAAGTTGAGTTATTAATAAATTGCAATTCTTTTTGAATTATCATCAACGATATGTCTGTACCGAACCGATAATTGTCAATAATTATGAACGAAACAACTCGGAGGGATAAGTGTGCTGACAGTTTGAAGATGGCGCACTCATCACGTCTATCCACTTTCTACACTCAAAATACTCCTTGAGTGCACCTCAGCGCACCGAGTGCATCCTCTACGGAAACTTGAAACATGGCCACATTCGTGCGACACACGTGCAAATAAATACACGACGATGGACGCGGCTAGTGAATCAAGGAAAAAACGTAAGCGAAGCTCACGGAACGAAGATGAAACGAAGTCGAAGAAAAGGATCAACGGCTTTGTCGAGGAAGAAACTGAGCGAAGTACAGCGGAGAAAAACATCATTTCCGAGGAAGGCAACACGAAAGACAGTATTTGCAGTGCAATGCAGGGCAAGTTCGATGGGAAATACTTCAGGAAACTTTTGTCTACTCCCAATTGCTTATACGCTCTGAAGAAGTTTGTGACGATCAGCAATGCGAACAAGGAAGTGGACCTTGCAGCGGAGTACTTGCATGCTAACGGCAGTGTTCTTGAAATCTTGAAATTATTGGACTCTTCTGACAGAAAGAACATAGATATTACCACTGTCTTCTCTGCAATTAATATTTTACTCATGAAGTATGCTTCTTCAGACAATATACACCATTGTTATTAAGTTGCAAATTAAGTTTTGTAGATCGAAATCCCTTTTCTGGAAATAAAATCGAGTGCATTTATCTTACAGAATTTTGACCGAGTATCCTGATCACCAAAACAACGCGGTAGAGTCTTGCCGCCATCTACTGAATGCGCACATGTCCATCATACATTCCATGCTCTCGATGCAGAGCAATGCCAAGCAACGCAAAGTGATGTTGAAATTGCTGGCGGCAATAGTATCCTTGGGTAGCAATCTCTCAAGGGAATTGCTCGCTCATTTGTCGCTGCAACAGCAAGTACTGGAGAATCTGGTACGGCACAGCAAGTATACAGATTCCGAGAGCGTCAGAACGTGCTTCATTTATTTTGTTCTCGCTTTTCTTGTGGAGGGAAACACGTCGGTGATCAAAATGCTGTTGGACAAGAACAATCTGCTCTCCTCTATCTTTCCAGAACTCACATACGATTCGAAAGACATTGTTAACTTGGTTCTGACCACTGTGAAGACATACGTGCTGGAGAACAGCAACATCAGCAAGACGATAAAACTGCACGCCTTTCCGTCGTCTGTTGTGTTAAATTTGATATCGCTGTACAATTGGAAAGGTCCAAGTAACCGGTCCAAGAATGAAAATCACAGTTTCGATAAGAGCGAGGAGTTCCTAGCAGACAAAGAGGTAATTGCGATTCTCGTGAGCTATACAGTGATACTTGGCAAGATAACTTGAATGAAAGTCCGTTTAATAAATGAATGTCGTTCTGTTAATCATTACTGATTAAAATACAGGTTGTTAACAACGTGGTTCACGAATTCCTACTCACTCTGCTGACGTCGCATCGTTATGGGATTATTTTTCACGACCGGACACTGGGTGGTTCGCGAAACAGGCACAATCACGTAGTGCATGCAGTTCTGCAGAACTTGGAAAAACCGTGGGAACATGAGAAGCCGTCAGACTTGGTCGTTAAAATAATGAAAGCCTGTCCGGATTTAATTCGCTCGCAATATGGCAGCGTCGAGCCATTCCTCGAGCCGCGAGTCTCGCCTAAATGGATTTGTCTTCTCAAATTTGTCAAGAAGGTAAAATAAAGATTCCGCACCTACGTTGCAATAACTCGTACTTTTACACCATGTTGTATATATATTCTCGTTCTGATTTGTTTGAACTTACTTATTACAGGTAATCGAATCAGTCGATCCGACCACTTGCGTCAAGACCTGCTCTACGGATCTGACTACAAACAATTTGACAAACACGCTACTGTCTCTGACAGTTCCGAGCGTGATAATGAAAGGTGCCATTTTGCCAGGATTAGGCCACGATAGTCTCTCGGTTAGACACGAAGCTTTGACTCTTTTTCTAGTAATAATTCGTCAAATAAGAGCTATTTCTCTGGCGGCGAAAGAGTTTTATAAAACCGTCGCGGTTCAAAGTCAAATAACCGATTTCGTTCTGAGAACTGTTCCCAATTTCGAGGCAATTTTACGGGTGTGGAAGCGAGCTTTCGATGCCAATGTGATGGTTTCGGAAAATGTAGAAAATGTTCAGAACCCGAAACCGGCGGACCATCTCAACATTATCCTGAGCATTCTTCACTCGTACAGGGACGTGTGTCCGGAATTGTTGGACGGTTCGACGGATTTACAACCAAGTGTACTGCTGACGGATCTGAGCGGTCTCGAAACCGACGATGACGGGGCGGAAGTGAATGCCGACGAATTGAAACGCATGAGAGTCAAGGCGATACAGTTTCTGCTCGTCACGGACACCTCCATTTTCGCGCCCGGCGAGAAGATTTTCAAGGAGACTCTCCTCTTTTTGATATCTCTCATTCGTGAAAAAGCGACGCCGGAGAGCTATGACGCTGCTGGATTGTTATTAAACGCGACCGGTTTATTTGAATCTTGCGACGATCAAGTGGACATTTGGATCAACGGCTTCTTGGCAACGATTGATCCTAAAGAGTACGAAGAGTTGGCGAAGTGGTTCATGTCTGTCCTTAAAAGTGCTATTAAGCGTACCGATAAATATATAAATAGCATCACGCAAACGGAAGGTACCATAAATGAGCGATTGGCTAATTTCGACGTTAAGAAGGCGAAAGACATAATCAGCGAACTGTTCAACAAAGCCAACGAAGCTTGTGACCTACCTGATAGAGAATCTTTCACAGCAGAGTCGTCTTTAATCAATAAACCGAATTTACGTACGAAAAAGAATGATAACGTTGGCGTTAATAAAGTCAACGAAGAGCTTCCGAGGAACGCTATTGGACAGCCAACTGATAAGTACATGACGCAGATGAACGAGGGAGTGATTAACTTTCATGTTAAAAAGGCGGGTAACATTATCAACGAACTGCTTAACAAGGGAAACTGTAATGGCTTCGTAAACGATGTTACTTTTTCTACGTCAGCGTTGACATCAATTAACGGGCAGCTTGCTGGACGTCTTGACGTGGAAAAAATTCACTCAACCGATGATTCTTCCATCGAGCTCCACGAAGAAGACCTTAGCTCCTGCAGAATGCAAGCTTGCACGTCGGTGTCGCCTCTTTTGTGCTGTGCGCTTCAAAAAGTAAACGAAAAAAGTTCCGTTGCCATCTTAGCTTATTTGTCTTACGTGCTGGTCCATAGTTTGCATCATCAAATTGTCCCGGAATTGCTGGCCCATATGGCAACGGACTTGACCAACTTGCCAGTCTACAAGTACCTTCAGAGTTGGTCAAGTAACAGCAAACCGGTTTCTTTAAAGAACAAGTTGCCGTCTTTGAAGTTATTGCGCAAAGTGAGTAATATGTTGCTGACGGATACGGAAATGGACGTAGCCGAATTTTCTAAAATGTTCGACGGTCTTTCGTCATGCTGCTTCAAATACGGCGACAAGGAGGTCGCGATTAAACACTCTTTGTCCTTGTACGATGTCAGAGTCTTGCTAAAGATGACCACGTTTTATTTGGCGCAACTATCGCAGCGAGAAATCATGCGATATGACCAGAACGAAAAGTGCAAGTTCGTACTCATGTTTCTGTTAAACATTGCGCGGTCTATGGATCAAGGGAACAACACGTCGATACTCGGCGAAAGCGCAAAGTGTGTCTTCGCTCATCCCATCCTGTTGCATTATTTTTCACCGTTTTGTGGGGAAGCGCTGAGAAACTCGACGAAAAGCATGGTCACCGAAACTATCCTGGAAATCTGCAAAGTTGTTGTGCAATTACGGGGAAAATATGGTGACGCAAGAATATACAATCTCTTCTCGGCGTTCAGAGACAAGTTTCTAGCGCAACTGGGAAATATTATTGAAAACAATCCTCCGGACTCTCGCAATAATTACGATATTGCCATTGAACTGCTGAGAGTATTGCCGTTGAGAGCGCAAGAAGTAACGAACTTGTTGCTTGCTTTAATGAAGCTGGAAGAAACTGCATTTATCTCGAGCGACGAGCGGAACTTATCTGTGTTTGGACATATTGTGCCAGTATTGCTGGGTATATCATGCAGCGAGGAGTCAATGTTGCAACGCGACCAATATCATGTTTTGGACGACCGGTTTGTGGCCAAGCTGGGCTCGCATTTGATTTATCTGAAGTCCAAGAAGGTAAATCACGTGGAAAAGTGGGAGCGAGCCCTGGCGACATACTTGTCCACCTTCCCGAGCAATATCGTCAAATTCGACAGATCCACCTTCGCGCGTTTATTGGCCAAGGGCGTTGACGCGTCTACGATCCAGCTGCTGACAACTCTAATTGCGAGAAATACCAAGCTGATCCCGCCGCTGGTGGAATACTTCCTTAAAGCAAACAAGCCGAAGCGAATGAAGCAAGCCGATGTTGTATTCCCGATATTGGGCAGCAATTTGCAGCACAAGTGGAACGACTGCTTTCTTCGCGGTCTTTGCGAGTGCCATGCCGACAATATCGTCGCGTACTTAACTGACCCGCAAAATCCCGTCCGTTGGATCGAAGAAAATATCGCGGCAGTTGTCCATCTGATCGAGAACGCTTTCGAGCTCACCACGTGCGAGAAAACTTGCGACAGCATTTCCCAGAGCGGCGATAAACTGGACATGGTGTCTGTTTGTTTCGTACGATTAGTAGAAAGTCTATATAAGAGGCACGAGAGTCTGATAACGGACAAGGAGAAGCCTCTGATGGATCTGATAAAAATACTTTTGCACGTGATGACCGCGACGTTGAAGAAGGAATCGAAGAACGTGGAGAAACTGAAAGTTTTGTGCGAAAAGCTGGACAATACGGTAATCTGTTTAAGAAGATTCAAACGCGAGTTCGTCTTTAGTACGCTCAGTAAGAGCTACTCGTGGCCACAATTCACCAGGTTTTCCTTGAGGTTGGGTCTGAAGAGTGCTGAGAACGATGAGATTCGAACGGGCGTACTGATGACTCTGAGTGGTCTGTGCGACATCGCGTATGAGGATAACGCTGATGACGAATACGCGAAAACGTTGTTCGAGATGGCGACATCCCACTCGGAGTTCGTTAATATAATGCTCGGATCATCCAGTGTTAAAGGTGAGTCTGTTCAGGCGACGTTTCACGTCGCTGTGTTGACGTCCATTACTTCTGAGACACTGTACTAATGAGAAACCAAATATGTTTCGCGCGCTGCTTTACGGGCTACGTTGATGATATTAATGTTCGACCCCTCTGTGATTACAGGCAGTCTGGTCGAATTACTGAGGATATTGACTCGGAAAAATTACTCGATGATGACCGTTTCCCACGTGCCTCTCTATCTCGCAGCTTACAATGCCACCCTCAGCCATACCGACCAGCGTATTTTGCAAGTAAGACTCATGATATACCTTTTCATATTTGCCGTGTCGTTTCGAAGGAAACACCAGAGTCTAAAAGAATATCACTTAATTGTTGCAGCTTCTTCAGCATTACGAAGCCCATAGTATAAAAATTCAGCAATACTGGCCGTATTTGTGGGGGAACGCCGCAGCGATACGTTACAGCATAAGAGGAGAAGTGGACAGCGCCCTTTGGCGGCAACCATCCACTTCCGAAGTGTTTAACTTATTCGACGAGGACATTGTCAGCGATACTATAAAGAATTATCCTGTTCACCGAGCATTAAAGGTAAGAACCTTTTCGACTTGTTTCAGTCCGAAGTCTCGGAGGATTTTTACATTGCGTACAGATTGTTTCGTTATTTTCTCCCTTTGTATAGGACGACAGCCTATACGAGAACAGCAACGTGTACGATCCGGCGTTTTACCTGCCTCTGCTGTGCTCTCTGCTGGCGGAGAACAACGTTGTCGCGTGCCACAAGATAAACCACAGTGGTGCGTTAGCACTGGCACTCGCTGCATGCTGCAGTGATTCGAACGATGTTCGAATGGCAGCGTACACCACCATCTCGAGATACTACTTCCACTTGGAAGCGTCCAGGTACGATATTAATCCGAGCAAATGGTAAATTGCCATACACACCCGACATTATTAATTGAAAGCTAATGATTCGAATTGCCTCATTCGTTAAGGTCGAAAGAGAAGTTGCTGTGGATGCGTTTGATCGACGCTTTACGAAATGGCGTCGTATCGCTAAAATGTCCGTTAAAAGACGTCCGTCTGAGCTGTTTGGTAACCACCTTCCTCGCTAGGACCGCGTTAGTTGCTAGTCAACCGTTACATCCGCTTTACTCGCCACTGCATACCTTCCTAATGGCCAAACCTGCGTTGGACCTGAACACCATACCTGAACTGTTGCAATTGCTGCACAGCTCGCATGTAGACCACAAAGCGCATCGGCATTGGATCCTGGAAAATATCCGGGACGGTATCAAAGAAGAGAACGACATAGATGTGGCACTGAAATGCGTATTATTTAAGATGCTTCTGGACTTTCACACTTGCGCATTGTCGGACGCCAGGACCAAGGTAAATCGAAGACGATTCTCTATTCTGTGTATCGGGTTGTCGATTCGATTGATACAAAACGAAACGCCGGGCGCTGGGCCTTAACACCCGGCTATCTCTCGGCAGCCATATTTGCTCGTGACGTCATAGAATTGGCCGAATGCATGCATTATAGTAGAATAAATTAAGTAGAAAATATCGGTTATTACTGTCTGATACTCAAATTGTTGATTTAAATGTAAGTTGAGTGTTTCTTGGTTTCGTTTTTCTAGAAACTCATATTGGAAGTTATTGTTTCCACCACGAAAATTCCAAAATCGTCTTTGCTCCTCACGCGAGGATATGGTGTGCTACCATGGCTGTACGGAATTATCAATCATTCGGACGTTTGTGAGGCGGAAAGTGACGCTATCATCACCATAATTGGGAATCTGTTGAATAGCTTAGATAGTTTAACGGAAGATACTACTCATTACAAGTATTTGTTACTTAGCATCCTTTTGAAATTAAATGCGCACTTTCCTAGAAACGCAACGAACGAGTTGTCCACTCGTTACGCAAATGTTCTTCAACGAGTGATTGTAGCAAAAGGCGTGAAAGGATGTACGGGTAAACGAAGCCTCAAAAGGGTTCAACAAGTTTTATAAGCCTAGGTGACAAATGTTGTTTTTAACATGTTATAAAAATCTAAATTACTTATATTTATTCATTTGTATTTAATTATTGAAAAAAACCTCTCGATAGCTGTAAAGATGCTTCGCATTGAAGACGAAATAATTGTGCCTCCGATCTTTGGAAAGATCAAGAATACAGAAGAGTATGATATTTGCGCATGATATTTCCACAAAGCATAGATTAAAGGTTTGTGCCGTTTAATTTCACTTTACAATTTTCTTTCTTTATATTTCTAAAGAAATTGAAAAAATTACTGAAAGCACAACCATAGAGGGTAAATCTGTAATAGCTGATTTCTCTGAAACGAACGATTCCTCAATAACCTGCAGGTTATCAAATTATGTTTATATTCTTTCTTGTATTTTACACTTTCGGATAACACGTATGGATGAAAACATCTGCATCCTGGTTGCGATAGTCCGCGTCATGGTGTCTGAGTACCATGAGTACCTGTCTTATGTCCTGTTCCGGTCCACTAGGATATCCTCTGGCATACCACCTTGCTCTGGGCCAATTTCTTCCATTGTACCTTAACATAGATGGCCATACTTCCACCACCTCGTTGGTCGAACCTCCATTTAATCGCTGCATCGCAGAGTAAGCATTGTCAGATCTTAATACTGAATGAGTGACCAAATTTTGATCAGCTCGCGACAGAAAACCAGTCTTCGCGCTTCCTGTGGACAGTGAATAATTTTCGACATTATCTGTACTACCGGTTGCTGAAGGGTCTGATGCGTGACCTCTAGGATGACCCAAAGCTCTGTGCGCATAACACCTGGCGTTTTGGGATTTATCTAAGACTATCCCAGCATCATTGGCAGAGGTTCCGCTGTAACGGGCTCCGCCAATCATCAATACTCCCTTTTTGGTTCCTTCTAATTGAAGGATCTTGTCCAGCTGGTCGGCTAACTGCCGAAGGTTGCCTTTGAGTCTTAATATTGTCCATTTACGAAGTTCCGACGGATTCAGCCCAGTTTGTGAGCCAATTACCGAAAAGAGACAACTGTTCAAATCTATGTCTGTATTATCGGGGTCTTTACCTGCTTGCAGAGTCCAATGACCTAAACAAGGATTAACGGAGAATTTGGTCAGGTAAGGTATGGAATAGGATAAATTTGATTAAAAAGAAAAAGAAACCTTTGATGATTTTTTAAATTTTGCTCAATGATGAATAAACCACTTGAAAATAAAATATGAATTTTTGCAAGTTGTGAAATTGTTTCACGTCCATTCTTTTACAATTCGAAACCCACCAGTTCCTTCCAGATTGTTCGCATGGTATTCTACTATTATCATCGGCCCTGTTGTTTCTTTTCCAATGATGCTATCTGAACTCTTATCAGCATTGTGTATTTTGATGGATTTTCCAATAATGTTACTCAAAACGGCAATATGTATTAAACCAGCTGGTCCGTGACGTTCCAGGTCTTCAATAATATTCTTGGCACGTTCAGTTCTACTATTGCCATCTTCTGTCCTATTTGATGATCGCATTCCACGCATCTTTCTGTCACGGATTTTCTGAGTTTCATCCATTTGTGCGGTCATTTCCAACGTGTGTGGAAAGATGAAGTTCGTTACTGAATCATTTTCGTTCCTCGAATAGTTCCCCTAAACAATCCGTGAAAAGAAAAATGTAGAGAAATATGTATAAAAAGTATAAAAAAAGATAGCTATATAAAATAATAAAAATTAAAAGTTACCTTTCGCATTTGATCGTATTCTTTGTTCATTTTGTCGCTTCGAATTTGTGCGCATCTATCAAATTAAATTATAATATTAAAATTAACAGAGATAAAATTATTCGTTACTTCACGACTGACATGTAAGAAGATAGAAATATAATCGCATACCTATTTATTTTTCTCTTTTTATGGAATATTCATTATGTTATTTTATAATTTTTTAAAACTTGAATTTTGAATGGCCAGCATTTCTCCTTGTCAATAAAGCCAAATTATTTTTCATTTTTTTTTTACTTTAAATTTTTTTGGTCCAACATGATGAACTGTCCGAAACAACTTACGTTGCTTCGTAATGGTTCTTGTGAAATTTGCTACGTTCTTCCACAGCGTTTGTCCATTATTTATTTCTCGATAAATGATCGATCGCAAGTTTATGAATTTTTTTTTCAATATCAAAATTCGTTATTTGTATGTTTGGGCGGTCCAATGTTGAAGATGAATCCGTTCAATGCAATGTACAATATTATGACTGTGTGATGTCTATCACTAAGATACTACATTAATGAGAAAATAAATATGTTGCGTTATTACTTTGCGAGCTTCACTAATGATTTTAACCGTTGTTCGACCTCTCTGTGATTATAGACAATCTGATCGAATTACTGGGAAGGATACTGTTTCAAAAAATTATTCGATAATGACTGTTTCCCACATGCCTCTCCATCTCGCAGCTTACAATGTTATCCTCAGCCATACTGATCAGCGTATCTTGCACGACTCGTGATGCATATTTTATGTTTACCACGTCGTCCAAAGGGAACACTGGAGTCTCAGTATCACTTAATTGTTACAGTTGCTTCAACATTACGAAACTCATAACATAAAAATTCGGCACTTCTATGTTATTTGTTATTTGCATTGTCATCTTTCTCCCATGTTCATGATAATAAATATTTCATAAGATTATTTTTAAGAAGCACTCGAGTGATAAATAAACTTCTTTATATATTTGTAATACATATTAGTAAATATATATTCTTCGTACATTAGTAAAGGGCCGTCATTAGTTACGCCATTGGCTGATACATAACAGATTCGTAGTAGTTGGAGTAGTCCGGTTGTCGGAGCGAAACGGCGGGGGTGCGAGGAAACCAGAAGAGGATGACGTTGCACTGGCAGGCATAGTGGGGAACAGTGCCGGCTAATGAAGTGTAAGTTGCCCATATTCGACTTAAACGAGAAATTAAATGTCACATGAAAAATAAACGTATAAAAATCTAACTCTTTGGAAAAATAATTGCTGTGCTTTTGTTACAACAACGACAGCTCACCATTATTAGAAACGGAGGGAAATAGATGATAAGTCAGTCAGTTCTATTAAGAGTCAAGCCGTTGCATATCTTGTCAAACTTTCTGTTTTAAGTAGTAACAATAGCACGAAATCGGCACTGGCTGAAATTTATTATCATTAATTCTTAATTGGTACGTGAATTATTGGTCATATCGAGCTACTTAAATATCATAAGTTGTGTCATTCATGGAAATGAAGTAACGACTCGATATATTTTGGACATTTACATTCGAACATGTGGTCAAGATAAAATATTTTCCTTTAAACTTGATGTTTTAAAAGAGATCGATGCGTCGATCACGCTGATCGAAACGACGTAGCCTGCGGTGAAATTGTGCGAGCCTGAAATCAGCTTCTGTCAGCTTCTTCGGGCAGAGTTACTCCGGTGAACTTCGTTTTTCGGCGATTATGAGCTTCGCCGAGTCGACGTCTTGCGCCTGCCCTGGTCTGGAGAACCGCTCGCTCGCGATTCGCGGCTTTCTCTCGACGCGACCAGTCTTGGTACGGCCGCCTTTCCGAGTCTTCCGGCCGAAGGAACGCGTCCTCGAAAGAGCGCACATCGAAAAATCCTCCGTCGCGTCGGCACGCAGCGTGGATCGTAAATTCGGAGTATGTTTTCGGAGGTGAAAGAATCACGTCGCGCGGTCGCATGCGCACACGTGTGCTCGTGCTGGACAGCCTCGAGTGATTTGTAACTTTCGTGCCGGGAATGATGGGAGTTTGCCGAGGGAGCTGGGAGGGTTGATTTTGGATGATCCGAGAGGTGATTAACGAATCGTAATCAGGGTTCCGACAAAATATCCCCCGAGGATTTCGAATCCGATGGAATCATTTTTCCGTCAAATTCGAGAAATCACTCCGATCGAGTTTAACGGACTTTTTGAACATTTAACTTTTTAATTCACCGTAACGTCAGAGACGATCGTTTCAGGGAATACACGTTGCTGTGAAATATGTTAAAGCACGTGTTGAAAGACGCGTATAAATCCTAATTTATTCCCAACTCGTTACTTCGCATTACCGGTCTCGTGATTTCTCCCCAACGAGACCTTGGTGTATTATTTACGTCTTCTATCGTAAAACAGCGGTCGTCTTGCCTATACGAGCGTTGAAGTCTCTCCGCCGCGACACTCACCTGCCGGGATCCCGGCTTGCGTTGAAATTGAGCGCTCGCAGAATTGTAGATTGTACATCGCCGAATACATTACATTAATTAACTCGCTTATATCAAAACTTATATACTCACATAGCTAATATGACTTATCTGTATGTAAATATCTAAAAAAAAAAAAGAGAATCCAAATTCCACCGTGTTCGCCGCTGGCTAGTATTTGTTGACTGCCGGCCCTCTCAATAGTAAACACCAGATCTATCACTAGCCCGCGACAATTACAATTTTCATCGTTTACTTTCTCGACCAACATAATCGATTCTGCTTCTAACTTGTATCAGGAAGCACACGAATGCAGAGCTGTTGCAATTCGCGAACGGGAGGTTTTCTCTTTTCGAAAAAAAATAACGTCGAGGCGCGACGTTAGGGTTGCCATTTTGTACGTTATACCGTGACAGTGAGAGTGATCTCGTCGTGAACTAAACCCCGTCGAGTATCATTACACCGACGATGCTGCGCTACACCTTGTGATCGACGATCTTCGTGCGCTACGTGATACTCCGCAAGAAAGTCGATTCTGCTGTGCGCGACAATTCGCTCGGAGTGTTGTAAGGTGGCAACGATGCGTGGCTTTGTGCTTCTTGCCCGCCAGTGGATTTTGTGAAGGACGAACTTGTCCGTCCGACACGTTTCGACACGGATTAAGGATTACTCTCGCAAGCGATGCCTTCTGGATAAGCGTATATGGCTGGTAAGTGTGCTTATGACTCGGAGAGTCGTTCGGCGTTGGTAAAAGCGTGTAACGACCACAGAGATTTGCTGTATCTCCAGCATCGGTTGTACAAGGCGTTCAGCAATACAAACACACTCGGTAAACAGAACGACCTTTCCTTTTACTAATTGAGGAAGAAAACAATCAGAAGTTTCAATCGCAACCCTATAAGTTAATCGTCGCTTGGCTTAATCAGAGATGGAATCGGGCCTAAACTTGATATTTTTTGTATCCCGATTTCAGCGTCAAGTATCTCGATGATGAAACGTTGCGTCAAATCCCGTTGCAGCGAAGCTCCCTTAAAATGAAGCGAGGGACAAAGATTCATCGGTGTTCTGTGAAAGATCATCATTTGCAAAAGGCCGTCCACCTTCAGCTGCTCGCAATTACATGCAGCCGCCAAGTTCGCGTAATTTATCAGCGATATAAGCCGGGACTTTGTCATTGATCTAGGTTATACAGCTCGTTGGAGCGTCCTGTACATCCCGAAAGGTTTACGTGGAAGGCGCAGATACCGGTTTCGCGCGAGTTACACGCGCGAGTGTTCGTTCGCGTGCGCACGTGGTGGTACATGTGTACGTTCACACGTGGCGGCTGCTGCGGCGCCGCGGCTACTCGCTCGACAACGCCGTGCGCCACGATTAAATTATGCAATCGTGTATCCGTCGCGTTCGAAAAAGTAATATAAATGCCGGCCGACGTCGACGGAAGCGTCAGAGCGATCGCTTTCTATCCCCTCGGACGCCTTTTCAACTCTCTCTCGGTTTGAGACGAGGTCGCTCTAACCGCGAAAGTGTGAAGTTCGCTTCAGTTAACAAGCCCGTTACAATTGATCGTCTAAAGATATGACCGTTATATATATTGACCGTCTTAATACGAAGCTCTTTACCGGTCGAATTTACGGTTAGTTTGCTCAGACGCTTGGAATAGAAGCTTCCCTAGTAGCGCAATTCAAAGCATTGACGATACATTGGTTCAATATTGATTATATTGGAGTTTATTGGGGGTATATTGAACGAATTACCCAATATAATGCCAGTCAAACCTGCAAAGAGCAAATTTTACGTGATATCTGATATCAATTTTGCCGACAGCTTGCTAGTGGAAATATAACAGGATTTGCTAGCAGAACATGACAGTAGATTAATCTGTTATGCTTTGCTGACGAATCCTGTTATATTTCTGTTAGCAAACTATCTACAAAACCCAACTGACAGTAACATAACGTCAATATTATAACTTTCCACTCGACAATGTATGCAACGTAATGCAACGTAACGCATGATATATAACAGTTACATTGTTGAATGGGAAATTGTAATACTGAGAGTTGGTGTTTACCAAGAATTTATAGCAGATACTGTGCGAGATCTGCAGGTGTGCCTTTCTTTATATTGGGCAATATTTGTTCAATATATTCTCAATAAATGCCGATGTAAGCAATATTGGGCCGATGTATCGCCAGTGAATTGCGCTAGCAGAATTATTTTGGTAGCGCGACAGTTTCACCCATGACCGCCGATAGTTTTGGCCCTGATCGAAACGAAGAGCTCCGTTAACGGCCAGTCGACGACCGGGCCACTTTGCGACGACGGCGGCGTGCTCGGGCGTAATTTGTGCGTTTAATCCTCGAATAAAGTGGATTTCTCGGCTCGCGCCGTCATTACAGTGTAGGGTCGTTTCTCGCAATGCCAGGCTGGATAATGGCCGGAATGCGCAGGAATGCGCGAGAAGGGGCGGACGAGCGGTTCGAAGGCGCAGCGAGACGACTGAGTAGATAATTGCCGGGTATTCCCTGGGTTGGGGCGCGCGCCGCGAACCCGGGCTTTGCCTTTGTGTCGCCCGTTTCTCGAGACGGCCACGCGCGAGGATCACCTATTGCTCCGTTGACGCACGATCGCAAGATTCGGTCGCCCTAAAGCTAATAATAACACATTACATCAACATGATAATTGTCACTTAACGATGTAACCGTTGAATACAACACACATTATGTTGCACTTACATTGCTGGGTGGAAAATTATAACATTGTTGTAACGTTACTATTGCTTGATGTTTATTGGGAAGCTATCTTCAATAACGTGATATTCCGTCTTCTCTTCTCTCCTTTTCCTCCGTCCTCGGAAACAATCGGGTCGAATCGACGAGCAATTATTCATTATCCGGCGAGTATCTGAGGGGCGGATTTCCCGTGCGCGATATCTAGAAATTGAAATCGCCTCAGGATCAAAAGACGCAGGTTGGCAACCCTTTCCTGGGCGTGGTTCACCATGCAAGGTAACATACTCCGAAGATAAACGAGGTGGGGTGCGTACGTGCGTCTGTCTTTGATACTAATAAGTTAGTATCAAAATAGTACTAAATACTGCCGGCTCGAGATACGAGATTATTACCCGATGTAAATCAAATGGCATATACCTACCGTATGATTTATGGATGGGATGCGTCGATTGTAGGGGATTCGCACTTCGATCGTCTCAGCAATTCATCCATTTTTTTCAGTTATCTATCTTCGTTCTTTTTTTCCGAAAAAAAAAAAAAAAGAAATAGCTTTCGATGAGTTGGCATGTTCTTCCCCGAGGGTTGAAGAAATTACGGCGAATTAATGCTTTGCGGAGCTGCCGTTTATGGCTTCTCCACGCCCATAAATAGTTTATGCATATAAATATATGAATAGATATGCGGAAAATAAGAAGAGGATGCGTGACAAATATTCTAATAAGAAAAGCGCGCGTGTGTGTGTGTGTGTACGCACGCGTTCCTGTCGCAAGTCGCCTATGCCTATCGCGGAGTACTGAGCCTCGCTGAGAATTTAAGGCCAGAAGGATGTATGTGTCGATGGCACACCCAGTGTGATTCTATTCGCACGACCATTAGGGCAGCGCCCGAAGTGGACCGGAACGTACCGCAACGTCGTTTCGGTCGATGTAAAAAGCGCCGGGAGATGCGTTCCGGCTAATAAAACTCAAGTACGCCAGAGTTTTGCCGACGACAGAACGGTTCCCCATTACAATTCCGCCAAGGGATACACAAGTGAATCCGCAAACGCACCGATGGCCATATTACGGCTACGGTCGCTGCAGCGAGGATGCAGCGCCTACCTGTATAATTCGCCGCACCAAACAGATATATCGCGGACGGATAAATTGCGCACGGACGACGAACTGATTGTGATCGATAACCTCCCTCGACTCGGGTTGCGCTAAAACAGCGGGATAGCCGGGTCTTATGACGGAGCGTCATAACTTGTGGAAAAAAAAACATTAGCGCTGTGATAAATACGGCGCGATGGAAACGTTCGAGACCACGGGAGGAGATTACGGTCCGCGCCGATCATTTATGGCGACCCATTGCGATTGGATGCCGGCTTATGGAACGCATAAAACCCGCATCACACGCGGGTTTAAGAATAAAAGCGCAGTTTGAGGCGAGTGACGCGCGCACGCACAATGGTAAAAAAAAGAATCGAAATGTGGGAGAATAAAATGGAGTAATAAAAGGGATCGCGCGAGAGAATGTTAATTTTGAGCGAAATAAGAATCAAAGAATTATGAATGACCCTTCGGATATCCTTCGCGTGCCACCTGTGCCGCCTGTTACGTCCTGCCGATACCACATCCTGCCGTCATAATTTTTAAGAACCATAAAGCGGAATAACCATGTGTCCCTATCCCCTTCCTCCCTTTCATTCCGCTCAAGATGTCGTGTGATTAATCGCGGGCGGAGACCGGCAATTTTCGAAGTTCCCTCGCAAATTTCCTTCTCGCTAGCCGATGATGCGCTTTCCGTCTGCAGAATCATAATTAACAACGACCTTGATACCGTTCGCATGGTATTAAGTCGTTAGGTCGGCTGTCAGCGAAACCACGATTGGAAACACTTACGACGGCAATTTCGTTAAGCTGCCGTCGATGATATTGCAGATAGGGCTGTTTTCCAGAGAGATTTTATAAGATATCCTGTATTTTTCCGTACTCTTGACGTCATGAATTTTAAGTAGCTCAGTCGTTACAGAGCTACTCCGCAGTCATAAGAAAGTATATTTACAACATTAATGTTTTCATCAAAATTATAAACGATGGACTATCGCAATTTTTCAATTATACATAAACGCTTGAATTACACTTTATTTATGTAATGTTTACAAATAGTCCTCGCGCTTAAACGAACTTCTAACTTTTCCGTCTTTCTGACGGAACGTTGCCGCAACGATAATTTAGTAGCTTGTAACGCTCTTTAATACGCAGCTTTTAACGGGTCATATTATTTGGTACGTTTCTGAAACATTTTCAGTATATTAAGTGAAAACGTTCAAGAGATACGCATGAAATCGCGGCATTTCAAAATGTCGATCTAACGTCCTTCGTTTACTGAGTAATCATTTGGGTGTTCAGCGTTAAAAGTTCAAAGAGCGCGATTAAAGATGGAACAGCCGTGACAATTGAATTCATTCCTTTTTGCTTTAGAGTCGTTATAGTCTCTCCGGTGGTGAAGAGGCGCGAAATATGCAGCCGGCCCTGCTCTTGTAATGATCGTCGCGCGGCGTGATCGCGGCAGGAAACACCGTGATTCGCGAGACGCACTATCATCGATGTCGCGGATAAAATAAACACGGTGAAATTGCTGGCTTTAACCGCCGCAACACCGGTTACCGGTGAGCTTAGGTTTTGTCGCGCACAAGGAGAGGGAGACGGCAGTGTGTGTGATTGGAAAGAACACGTTTTCCCCTTCTCCATTTTTTCCCCCGGCGCAAGAGCCACTGTGGTTGAGGTTATTCTGAGAGGGCGCATTCATGAATCCCGAGGCTCCTCGGACTTCTCCTGCAACACCCGAGTTGACTTCTTTGCGTCCCTTACAACAGATATAGCCCAGCCTCACAAACGAGTTCGGGTGGCACCGCTCGAAGAGCTCTCAGCCTCAAGAGCGAAAACCGCACTCGCACGTGCATCCGCAGTCACTCGCGCGCATCGAGACGTTCGAGCGGCTGGCGATGCGCGATTCCGTCGTCGCGTGCCGTCGCTGGCGTTTCGAATTCGGCGGCGTGTGACCGCGTCACGTGACGGTTACGTTAGGCCGGACGGGCGCGCCCATTTTGAAGCGGGGTGCAGCCGGGCGCAACAAGGGCCTGCTGTTAAATACACGCACGATCTACAGCATTCACAAAATTGCTTTTTCGAAGCTCCGAAGGATCACGACCTTTGAAAAACGAACCTTCGAAGTTTCACCTTACCGAAAATTCGAATTCCTCTCGAAGTTTCGAAATTAACAGCTCTAGTATGAATACCGCCCGAAGATCTTTCGCGCGCTCAAACTCGAAGGATGAAGAACAGACAAATGGCATTCGGCTGAAATAATTTTATTTGAATTACGGTCGAATATTCGATAGGAATTCGATATTCCTAACGCGTCATTGGGATGCACGCTGGGTCATACCAGGTCGCTCGGTGCACTTTGCTCTTTTGAATTACGAAGATTATCGATACTTTTCGCCCGGGTCGCGTGTTAATTCACACCTCGGCGGTACTTTCGCGAGACGAACGGCTCGTAAATCCGCTCGTCGGGCACTTTCGTTCTTTCAACGTCGGCGTTATTTCTGGAATCGTTACAGCTCCAAAAAGAAGTAATCACGAGCGAGATTAATGTTTCAAACGGACGACGAGCTGCGATCCGTCAGGGGAGTGTAATAGTCTACCTCATTAGCAGACGCACTTCGGATCCTAGATCATATACCGCCGCGCCGGGCATCAGGATAATTTACTGTCCACGTGTTACACGGATTATACGACAGAAACCCAAGCAGCAAAATAGATACAGGGTGCTGAAAAATTACGCACGTAAACTTCAATACGGATTCCTCGGTCCAGGAGGCTGACTTTTTCTCAATCAAAATTCTATTCGATTCGCAATCCTTATTTATGTCTTCAAATCCCAACGTTAAATACTTGATAATCCGACTTTAATTTTGAATATTATTTGGTTTTACATAAGTTATGGAGTCAAATAGAATTTGCATGAAACATCTTTTCTTCCTCGAGAATATTGAAACTAAAGTCAACGGACTTATTCTTCCTTTGATTTCACCGTTTTGTTATTATCGTGTGTTTTCTTTCTTCTCAAGAAAGAAAGGGGAGTTCTATTGTCTCCGAAAACAATGGCGCCGCGTGTACCTTTGTTCCCTTTATAAAATATGCAACTCTGACAGTTCCGGCGACTCGACTGTAACAGAATATTAATTTAATGCTTAATTTCCGCGGAGCATTTTGTGGTGAATATTTGGCTAATATAACTCTCTCTTCCCTCATTATCGCAATCAGTAATAAGAGAGAAATTACTTTTCCGTGTATGATTACCTGAACCAGTACAAAATTTCTCATATATAATTATATATGAAATATGTTCATATATATATAAAATTATACACAATTATACATATATTACGATATCGCCACTTCGTATATAATTATACCTAATTATATATGGAATATATTTGTTCCCGGATAGTAAGAGAAATGTTTGAGCATATCGAAATTACGCTACCTTTGAATCGTCCGTCACATAGCGCACTTTGTTGCTCGTTTTCCTTAAAATGTTGTATTCTGTTGCTTTTGTTGCAGATGCGCGACTGGAATGGCAGAAAAGTTGCGCGAGGCGGCTGCTCGTGGCGATGTTGCTCGAGTCACACGCTTGCTCGACGAAGACATTAAACCGCTGCCCGACGAGGTACGATCCTCCAACCCTTGAAACTCTTACAAGTATATACCATACAGGGTGATCCACATGACCATCGCATATTTCTCACCGCTCGTTTCAAAATTGCGGCGGTGATTTTGCAATTATTGGAATGGGGAATTTATCGTCATTTTTTGAATCGATTTCTCCCATTCAATCCTTGTCTCTAGACATTTTGCTAAACACTGACACTCGATTTCTTATTCGTATTTTGAAAATGCCGAGAGGGAGTGAAATATGGGAGACGTTGAAGGATGCCGATAAATTGTGAAATATATGTAAATGCGTATCGTGAAATTAAATCTCCCTCTGGTAATTACCCGCGACATTAGCGGGAAGGAAAACTCTATTAACGGCATCGCATGGCGAGAACTAATGCGGCGATATATTAATTTCGTCTATTAATTAATTTACCCTCGCGCGGCTCTCAGTGCGGCTCACGGTTAGGCGTAGGCAGGCAGGGTTAGGCCAAGAATGCAGATAGGCACGCCGACGCGATATACATTTGTCAAGTGCGACGCGAAACACGAACGAATGGACCACCCGATCGATTATACGCGCGCTCATTAAGGTTGCTTCTGCCTTAATTGCGCCGATGAAATTAATCGCCACCGAGACTTTTTCCGTCGCTGCCGGGCACGATTTATTAATCGTCGCTCCGCCGGAAGATGACATTCGACACGCAACCGCGGCAATGCTCCGGAACAGTCGCAATAAATATTATACGCGCGGGCGCGAATCCTTCCCTCCCCTCGTCCAGCGAAATTAAACTTGTGTTGAACGCGAAATTACCGTCGAAGGGAACTCATTCGTCGGAGGTTCGATCTGCCGAAAGAGGACATTTCTTCACGCTTGATCGTTCGTGTTGGCAGGATTAGGTTTTCCAATGATTAAGAAATTATCGGTCGATATCACCCTCGGCGATAAGATATTCACTTTCGAATGTGTTTTCGGCGCACGGTTCTTAATTAGCGTGTTTTATCGAGCACGCTTACAGGCACGAGCGCGCGAGGATGTTCAGGATTCCTGTCGTGTTTCAGAATGGCCGAGGGCCCCTGTTGCTGGCCGCGGCAGGTGGTCACGTGGAAGTGTGCGAGACCCTGTTGCTGCGCGGCGTCGACGTCAGCATCGCGGACGACGTGAGTAGTGTTGTAGATAAATTTTCCTTTTCCCTCTTTCTCTCTCTCTTTCTCTCTCTCTCTCTTTCTCATGTAGTTTTATGTGCCGCGTAAACTGGAAAAATGGTCGTTCCGAGATTAACGCCGATGGTCACTTAACTGACTGACCTCTTCATCTCCCTCTCGAAAGCTCGAAGCTTCGGTCTACAGCTGCCCGATTTCGAAAGAACCGGTCACCCGGACAGCCAGGTGACACTCGAGAAGAACTTTATCCGATTAGTCTGGGTGATACCTGTGATTTCTAAACGTTCGGCAGCTAAAAACCCGATACACACTGGAAATATGTACTAATAACTGCAATCTCAAACATCGATGCATGCTGTAAGAAGGAAATATGTACTGGGAGAAAAAAATATCTAAGAAATAAAAAATATTTATTCGATGGATACTAATAACATAGTTACTAAAATCTAAATTTTTTTTAACTCAAATATAGAGTAAATAATATTGTTTTCATTAAAAAAAGAAGCTATAAATTTAAGGAAGTGTATGTTTTCCTTGTTTGAGAAAAATTTTTTCCCGGCGCGAGAATATGTATATTGTTACAAATAAATATTAGTACCCACTGCAAAGTAAATAATTTTAATTTTTTTTAGATATTTTAGATATTTCTTCTGTCAGTATAAAGGAAATATTGAGATACAAGCGTGTTAAACAATCTGTAATGTTTAAATAATTTGTTACTTAACGAATTTCGCTTAATATGGACACACCATAAGCACGTGTATGGCGTCCCGAGGTAATACGTGTTTCAAGAAATTAGGAAACCCTTATTGTATGGATTACCACTCCTACTTCTGATCCGTCCGACCGTGGCCGGATCCTTTGCAAACAGATCTCTAGCAGTTCTCGCGGCTGCACGTACGACTTCCGGTCATGGGTCAACTAGAAACGCTCCTCCTTCTCGCTTCTCGTCCCTATCCATTTCTTCCACTCATTCTCCACCATTCCTTCCTCGCCCTCTCCTCTCTCTCTCTTTCTCTCTCTTTCTTGTCTATGTATATTGGTTGTTCTTTCTTATTGCTCTTCCTTCTTGCGAGCATCGTCCGCTTAAGGCAAATAATTTCACTTCTCGACGATGGAAGATGCCTGGTGAGCGGCGATTTTTTCGAACGGGCGGTGGAATATTGAGAAAGGGGAAATAGAGAGAGGGAGAGAATTAATCGATGCTGAAGTCGTAGGTCGACGTAGGTGTATTCGAGCACACGTGCGCGTCGTTTGATGTTTGTCCCTTAAATAAAAATACAATAATGAGTATGTACACTGTATTTCTCTTTCTTATTACGATGAGGAATCGCTTTTAAAGCGATATCGCGAAGAAGTATCGTGCTTTCTCTCAAATGCGTACCGGGCTGTTGCACATTTAACAATCCCACCATCTCGAGTTCTTTTTTCACAAAAAAATTCATACATCATCTTTGTTGTAACTTCTTCCCAACTAGACGCGAGCGACTGTTTTTGTCCAGCAATTTTGGCTCCTGTGATACGAACGATGCATAATAGCCGAATTTCACATGGATTCATAAAGTGGCCGAAATATATATATATATGTATATTCCATAATTTTCAATATAAACATTTCTTTTGATTCCTCTTTTTTTTACAAAATAATTAAACCTAATTAATTGTACCATGGGACGTTTTTCTTGCTGTCGAACGTATCATGGGGGTTCTTCATGTGCGATTTAATTTTTACAACTGTTTGCCATTTGAATGGAAAAAAAGAAAAAAAATATGACCGACCGTGACAGGATTCGAACCTGCAATCTTCGGATCCGAAGTCCGACGCCTTATCCGTTAGGCCACACGGTCTATTGAAGGGTAGCTACCCCATTTGCGTAGTTCCAGCATTTGGTGTTATCGAAATCACCAGTTTCACCTTATATTATAAGGTATTCTCAAATATTTTGCTCTTCGTTTGAATACGCAAAATTAAAAGAAATAAATTATTAGATACAACGAGTAAAGTTTTACATGAAGCAATATTTGGTGGATAATTAGCTTTATTGACAAATTACTTCAGATGCGAAGATTGCTTGGCTTTACTTCAAATAATACATACACTTTTATCTCTTCTTCTATATCTGATATCTTAAGACTGTTCAACCCTGCTTTTGATTATATGGGATGATGGAATGTAATCGAATCAATACTGCTATACTACAGAGTGGAAGATAACCGCGATTAAAATTAGTATCGTCGGTATGAACTAGGTGGTTTTTATCATACTTGGGTATTTCAGTACCTATCCGTGTTCAAATTCTTGAATACTATTCAGATGAATAGGTATTCACTGAAATAACCGAGTATCCGAGTACTCGGAAACAAGTATTTCGTGATACTTGGGCGATACCTGTTATTGATTTTCGCAGCAGCTGATTCCGATTCTCTGAGGTATTATGCACACAAATAATAATACTTAGCACTTGAGGATCCGAATACCAAGTGAAATACTCGAAAACTTAGTAGTATCTGAATTATTCCCGAGCATTTGAATATCTGAGCTCTGATTGCAATAGCTTCAATAGAATTTCGTACTGTATATAATCAAGTAATTTCACATTATTTTTATCGATAGATAAATATATATCTTTGATAAGTATACATATATACATATCCTGTAATCAACGTTTATCTGAAATCCGTGAGAATAAAATTAGAATAAAAAGGATCGGAGATTTCCATTCGTAAAGTCATCATAAAACAATCGAAATGAGCGTCAATACGGAGATGGAGGATTAATCGTACGCCTAACGAGGCGTTCGTGCGTTTCAGTTAACCTTATACTTGGTGTGTTTATCGAGAAATAAATCACTAGGATCGCATGAATTTATTGCACTCGGAGTATAGCTTTGATTTATCTCGCCGTACACGATCCACGTTATTTGTACAATTCCCTTATCCGGGTTGTTTCGTGATATATACCGGGTGTTCATTACTGACAATTCAGATTCTTCAACAGATTTGAAATCGCCTGTTCGGAAAATTCTGAACGGCTTTCCACGTTGCTGCCTGCCCTAACAATGCGATCTCCTTAGTGATATACACGCGAACTACGTATCGCGGGCCGCGCGCACGCGAACAGGTTAATCGTCTGCCTAAACGTCTGACAAAACGAGCCAGTTTTCAGAAACGCTCGCTCGCCCTCGACGCCGTTCTCAATCGTCACGCTCGGATCGAAGGTGGGCAGGAAACGAATCGTAAAAGCGCGGGAAGGCAAGCCCATGCTGCGCGCGTATATACACGTGGGTTGAAATAAAACGAAGTTATTCCCGATGTACGATACGACGCGGCCGGGGAATTGCATGCCGTCGTCGTAGAATCCCACTATTGTCCCGCGGGCAATTAGCATGCCCGATCCGACTCTCCTCCTCGTGAGAGGCGGGAGGGGTGAATACATTAAAACGCTCCTCGTAGCAACATATCCCGTCGGATACTCACGGCAAACGCACGCGTGGGAGAGCGAGTATATTCCTGCGAATCTGTGCGAGCGCGTATGCTACACGAAGCATCGAAGTATAGAGAGAATCTGGATACCCGATACGTCATTACATCGCGCGACCTTGAAGAGTGGCATTCACGCGCACTACTACTACTTGGTACTGGATCGTTAACTATCGACCTGACCGTCGTAACGTCCGCAAGATTCGAAAGATGTATACTGCCACTTTTTAATATCGTGCTAACTAACTTTCGAGTACAAACCGTGAATACTAGTGATGCTAATGTATGCCCCGGTTCTTCTGCGTACTACTTGAATACCGTGATTAGTATAAATAATCATTAAAAAAAAAATTGTTATACTAGCGGCAGTTGGCAATTTACGTGAGATTTTTATCAAATTCAGACAGTTTGCAAAAGTTGTTATGAGATACGCTTTGTATAGTAGTGTATAATATTAAAATAATATATATTGAATTACTACACAATTATTATATAATAAAAAAAAAGTATAAAAATAAATGATTCTACAGAGAAAAACGAACTATTTAAAAAATAAGAGAAATAAAAGAAAAAAAAATTTTTGACCTAATAATATTTGAATTCGTGTCGTTCATAATTGGCTGAAAATCGACGCGACGAGATCTATTTGGGCGTTTGTATTAAAATATCAAGATGATGATGCAATGCTTGAATGAGTCAAGATGAAAAAATAAAAAAAAAAGATGTGTCAGAAGTGGGATTCGAACCCACGCCCTCAGAGAGGACCAGAATTCCCTTGTCACCCGTCATGGACGGGTAAGGTTATGATACCTTGAGTCTGGCGCCTTAGACCGCTCGGCCATCCTGACACGTGATGGCCAACAGCAAATTTAACTGTGATCCAGAACTACGGGTTCTCAGCAATTATCAAAGCTCTAAAAAAATATTTCAGAAGCAACTCGACAGGAAATATCGTTGATATCCTAATGATAATTCAGTTATTTGTCCGTATATATATACGGAGTCTGAAATAATTACGCAATGGAACTGATTTTCGTCGGATATTCTATGTAACGTGCATACGAATACTCGACGTCATGTATGCTTGGCCGTTGTAATTAGAGTTCTATGTATAACTTTCAATTTTATAAGCATAAGGTCCAAAATTATATACATAATCTTTATATAATATTATGAATAGCATCGTTATACAAGTTCTATGTAGCTTGTATCGAAAGTCATCTGCACGGAAAAAATGTTGAATCAATAAAATTTCTAACGGTAGATTAATTGGAGTAAATCTTCTATTCAATATCAAATATCATTAAAACTACTATGTTATGTATTGTTTCAATAATGAAAGTATTAATTTCAATGATATCGTCTTGGAATCCAAGAGATTTACTTCACCCAAACAAAACAAAAAGTCACAATAACATCAAAATGACAGTAAAATCATTTCAAAATGAATAGAGGGGATCACTCTTTATTTTATGTATAAATATTCCAAATTTATTATTATTCGGTGGAAGGGCACATGAAACCCGTTTCTATTCTAGCTTAGAACTATAAAAAGTTGAAATCCATCGCTGGACCGATCCGTGACGTTGAATCGTAAATACGGATTCCTCACTCCTTTATTGTTTCGCGGCGTCTTTTTTCACGTGGTCGGGGAAGCCACGTGAGACAAGATATGCCAGCCCGCTTGTAGAGAAATGAAAGATAAGACTGAGTTAGAACGGAGAACTATCTTTGTATCTTTACTCTCTCAATCTTTCGTTTCTCTCTCTCTCCCTTTCTCTCTTCCCTTTTCTCTCTCGCGACAAGCGTGTTCCACGGAGATTCGGGTCCAAGGAGAGAATACGAAATGAATCTAACTTTTGAAAGTGGGCAGCTGATATATCTGTTGGAAATATGTGACGGTAACCAATTTGTTTCAGAGAGTTGACTCATTTGTTAGCGCGTGTTCTTATACGAAATAAATTGCCCGACTTAACGATTTATGTTATCAGTGAATGAATTCTGTCTTTACCAGTGGTAATTTCGCAAAATGACTGTAGTATATTCTTTTTTACTGGTTCTCCTCTTTACATGCAAACTTCCAAGATTATTTTCAGCTGTTTCCTTAATAGAAATAACGTAAAATCCAGTTACGCGATTCATTCTGAATATCTATAATCACCGAGGTCCCTGGAATTTCCGACCGGACACCCTATATGCCGCGTGGCATCGTGCGTGAGCACGCATAGGGTTAGGTGTGTGCGGCGATGCTGTCGCGAGTGGCATGGCACGGTTCATCGACCAGCGGCCGCTTCGCTGAGTATGGGCGAGCAGTTGTAAGTCTCTCGGTCATCCTCTTGCGCCCGTCCGCCTTTTTCCTTTGTTGCGCTACGCCGTGTACCGTACACCAGTTTTCTGTGAGCACCAGCTGCGCCATCGCACATGGACACGTCACGTCTACGCGACTTTTGCGCGGTGTCGGCGGCGAACCGCAAATTTCGACATCGAGGCGCAATAAATTGAGCCGTTCCTCCGGTCCTGAATGATAAAATTAACGCTAATACCGCAAATTGAGTTATTCCCGAAATTGTAAATACTGCCATTCGGTGAAGTTGGTAATCATCAAAGCATTTCGCAGCTTTGGTGTCATGCGGCAACACCGAGTTTCATCCATCATCATTCCCGGAGAATTGATGAGAACCTCCTCAACATTCAGACTCGGAATAGAAATCGATTCTCTGCAAATTGGATAAATGTACTGCTATGATAAGAGAAGCAAAATAAACATGATCCTTTGAATCTGAAATTAATTTGATACCGCAGATGTGTAAATTCTAAGATTAAATTGTGTTATTTAATATTAAATGCGGCGCTAAACGGGATGGCTGTTGAGGCGGCGGTGTAATGAAAAAGATAGCAGCGAGCCCAAGGAAACTCATTAAAGATAAATTAACGGAGCATTCGCTCTTCACGGATTTACTAGTAATAATGGTAACAACTGTCATTAACTGATATTACACGTTAGTACTCGCGGAACGTGTAGTAAAACGTAGCACGAAGACGTTCGCTCGGCATACGCCAGGTGCTATACGAGGTGTCTCAGAAAAATCGGTTCTTCAAAGTTTCGCTGCAGAAACTGATTTTTGACCTTGAACTCGAATGTTAGCACCGGCCATCGTTACCTCCTTGGAATTTAGTTAATTTCTCGACACTCTCTCCCTTTCTCATTGCGAAGAGAGATAATTTTATACAAAGTTGATACATGCGAGCAATGCACGATGGTGGAACAGGCCAATCACGTCAATGGAGAGTATTTGAAATTAACGTCATGTTATCCATGTACGCAAATACTCGGGTGCTATTCGGGTAATTGAGCCCTTCGGATACTCAGGTACCCGAGTACACCATGATTAATACACATATTGTGCAAATGATTTTGGAGAGAATATACGGTGATTAATCTACAAAGCACATGCTGCGAAAATCAATAGTAGATGATAGGTATTATCCGCGATTTTGTTCAGCCGCTTGTACGCAGGTATTCGCAGTACTCGCGAATTTAAGCGCCGGGTATAAATAGTCGGTTGTCCAGGTACCAGTTGATTTGCGCCGGCAAACAATCCGGAATTCCTCGATCGAAAGATCAGCAATTGGTGGGATGTCGAGTCGCGGATGAGGCTGCGCGATCTATTCCGGGACACCCTATATCTCGGCACCGAACAACCTTCGATGAATACGTCTGCGTGTTTTCAGCATGGAAACTCGGCACTGCACGAGGCATCGTGGCGTGGCTACAGTCGGACCGTGGCGGTTCTGGCGAAGGCCCTCGGGACCCAGCGGGCCCCTCTGCATGCTAGGAATCTCGCCGGATTTGCACCGCTTCACCTCGCCTGTCAAAACGGCCATAATCAAAGCTGTCGAGAGCTCCTCCTAGCCGGCAGCAATCCCGATCTTCAGAATAACGTGAGCGATCTGCCGATTCCTTATCACCACTTCATCGCACACTTTGCGGCCCCAAACCATAAGAATGGAGGGAGGGATTTAGCTCTAATATCGCGTGAAGCCGAGCCTCTCAGTACGTTCTCGGAAATAACTGTATATACAATGATGCGGTACGGTTTCATACGAATATGCGAGGATAACTGTATAAAATGATGGTGCACGTAATTAAAAATTCTCTCCCCTCCCCCGTTGGTATCGCGGTTTCCGTGCGATATCCCATTAACAGAGTATCGCCACTCTCGTCACGTACCTGTGAATGTTATTTAACCTCGTCCGGAGCGATGAAAATCGAACACTCTCGTGGAAGAATATGTATTCTCGCTAATGGCTTCTCATGTATGATGGATGTTTATTTTGCCTTCCTTTTCAGTACGGCGATACACCACTGCATACTTCCGCACGTTACGGTCACGCCGGAGTAACGCGCATACTGATCTCGGCTCTGTGCAGGGTGTCCGATCAAAATAAAGTGAGTGACAATCATCGTATTCCTCGTCGTATCGATTACGAATCCGTCGGCTTCTTCTCATTCCATTGTTCACGGCGTCTCTCCGTTGCAGAACGGCGATACCGCCTTGCACATAGCCGCGGCGATGGGTCGTCGGAAGTTGACGCGCATCCTTCTGGAAGCCGGTTGCGACCGGAGTCTGCGGAACAAGCAGGGCGAAACGGCGAAGGACATCGCCCGCCGTAAGAACCTTTCCGAAATCTTGGACATCATCTCCAAGGCCCGTGGCAAGAGCCGAACGCGCAGCAAGAGCCGCGAGGACGACTCGGTCGATGGAAAAGTGGACGACGGTAAGTCCGGAAGAAATTTCAAGGCTTTCGAAGACCTGTTAGAAACGTCTTAAAAATCAATTCAATGTCTGACGCTAGGTAAGACGAAGAAGCGAGAGAAGACCGGAAGCGGCACCAGCGGCGGTGGCGGCAGCAGCTCGAAGAAAGACCGGAAGAAGCACAAGTCCAACGGCAAGCAGCACAAGGTCCGCTTCGAGAAGGCCATCATGGGCCGGCAATGGTCGCCTTACGGCTGCCACTATTATCCAGACCCGGAAGCGTTCCCTCAACCTCGCCTGGACTCTTTGCCGGCCGACCCTTTAGGGCGTGGTGAGCAGTACTACTTGGACCTGGCGGGTAACATCAGGAAGGGCCCGGTGGGCGTCGGATACACGTGTTATTGCGCACCATTCTTCCGCCACATGGAGGCGAAATTGGAGCGGGACAAGGCCGAGTTGAAGGCGCATATCGACCAAGCTCACGAGAAGCTGGACCTGAAGGTGACCAATCTGGAGAGAAGGACCAGAGGGCAGATCTCGGAGCTGACCAGGTGCGTGCAGGAGGAACGAACCAGATGCAACGAGAGGCACTCGCAGCTTCAGCAACGTCTTCAGCGAGGCGGGAGGGGTAGATACAGCGAGAGACCAGCGAAAACCAATTACAACCAGCACCATGAAGTGGTGCTACCGACTAGAACCAGGTCGCTGGAGGATCTGTTGGACGATCGGCCGCAAGATCGCAGCTTCGAGATCCCCGGGGAAACGCCGGTTCATCGCGGTAGCCTGGACGATCTTGATATTCCGGCTATACCCAGACTCAGCACGTCCATGAAAGACCTACCTTCGGGCTCCGGAGTGGCCAGATCGGCGCTCAGGGTATTGGATATTCCCCCGAGACTCAATGAAACGTTCGACGGAGTCGTCAGGCAGGATAGAACCTCGCCTTTGGGCGCACTGCCGGCGCAGTCGCTTCCCGTTGAGGGGAGACGTCTGCAGAGGGTAAGATCAAGCTGCCATTCTCCTCCCAGTGAAGTGAGTAGAAAATAGTCAAGGGTCGCTTGGCTATCCGAATAGTTAGTCTGGAGAAATGTCTGAGGAGTACTCTTCTCGAATTGATAAAAATATCAATCAAGTTTCTCTGTTTCTCGCGTGTCCTCCAGGGTTGCACGTCGTACGACATGCACGTTATGAACACGTCCGCGGATGAGAATAAGATCGGCGACGGTAACACGACGGAGTGGAGCGGTCGTCGCAGCGTCCACGAGATGATCAAGCGGTTTCAGCAAGTACCTGATATGCATAACGGCTGGCGAGGGATTCGTTCCGGAAGCAGCGAGCCGATCAATCTGGGCGAACATACCAAGTGCTCGCAAAGCCAGAGAGTTCATCCTCAAGGTGGTGTATCTCGAGTAACAAGACATGTCGGAGTTGTCAAATCACATTATTACAATTACACCGGTAGAAAGATATTTGCAACTATAATGCCGTAGTTATAAGCCACAGTGAAGGAATGGTAATCAGGAGAAGCCCGGATAACATAAAGAAGTCCTAAAACGCCGTAATGACGTCTTTTAGACATAATATATATCTTTTCAAAGCGACTTTTAAACATACGTGTTGTTTGAGGTCATTTCTCTAATAAATGTTGTTATAGTGTCAATGATAATAACATCTTACATGCATATTGTTACTACTATTTTTGTAGTTAAAACCAAAGAGAGGATATATTTGAGGACGAAAATAACTATAATATAATTTCAATCAGTGCACGAAGAAAAGATTCGGTAATTAGGTTAGATCAGGGTTAGCGAATCGGAGCTGTGAAGTTGAGAGAGAATTCTGTGCGGGTGAAATGATTTCCGAACTGAAACTTACTCGACCAACATCGCAGGTAACGACAGCGAGAGTAGCGAAGGCGAAGACGACGATGCCGAACAACCCGAAGCATACAAGGGAGCTAATTGTAGAAAAACTGGTATCCCCGAAGACGTGCACTACGACAGTATCGCGAGGATGCCTTACAGATCGCGCAATCCCGTGTACAGTCCGACCCCGCCTCTGCACGACACTCACAATGATTCTGGATACAGCACTCGCATGTACGGCTCCAGCAAGGGCGCGTCGCCTTCCTTGTCGGGTGTGTACAAGAAAGAAATCGGATAGTTTTCGATTATTTCTATCCTTCTATTCTTCGTTGACGGTCAATCAATTCGAAATAGGACGTTGTGTGTGCAATTGCGTTCTGTGTAGGTCAACTGGAGTGCGATGTGATCCTGCCACCTTCGACGGGGCCATTCGCGAGTGGAGAACAACTCGCTGTCCTACTGGAGCAGCCAAGGGGACACGACTTAACGGTTTACGAGCGAAGCGTTGATAACGTCGTAATTAACATTGGCACTGCTAGTCTGGTTTAGTCCCGTACAACCGGCGGTTCTATATCTCTAACCCGGAAATGGGACTTTCCCAAAATGCAATTACGTTACACTGTATGTAAAATACGAGGCCTGTCCGGAAAGTATCCGAACTTGTGCTGTAACTTTGTATCTAGGTGTGCTATTGTCAGCAAAAGGTATTCATCATTTAGTGGGGACCTTCGCGAGTACCTCCACCGATCATACTTTCCGGACAGACCTCGTATACTGGTTGCTCCGAATATGTTGAAATTACGCGTTCAGCAGATAAAGCAACTTTCCGTTATGCCGCCAACAGCTCTGCAAATATTGTGTTGTTTTCTGCTGAACGACACTCAGCAGCTTACGTTGCTCCAACATGTTTACTAAGTGATTGCTATTTTTTCCAACATACTTTTAATCCTGCCTGACGACTCCGCCGGACTGTCAAACATGTTGGAATAAAACATAAATTATGAAATGTCGTTCAGCGGAAAATTTTGTATCAGTTGCTAAACATAGCGGAAAGTGCTTATTAGCTGCTTTCTTACTGAACGCAGTCAATAACTTGAAGGTTGGATTATTATTATTTCGTCGTATTTTTCCATCGTTACAATAGCTACGGGGTCTAATTGAATGCGAACATTCTGAAATGTATATATTGCAGTTGTATCTTCACGAATCGTTGTCTATATTAGTTTTATTATTGTTAATATCATTATTATAAGTGTCATATGTCCGTCCACGTTGCCATGACCTCATTTTATAATAGAAATAAACACTAAGTAAAAACAACAGTATTTATTACTCATGTATTATACGCGCATTATGTATGTCATGTATATGTATGTATGTGTAAGTGTGTACGCGATCGAAAATCTAATCTCTGAGAGATAAATTCTTCTTTTTCAAAACAACGTTTTGACACATATGTTGAGCCATATCTTATATAACGTTTATTAAGTAGATCGTACGCATGTGACACTGACGATATTTCTTTTGTAAATTCAAAATCAGCAGCATTAAATATTTTAAATATAGTATGTGACATGATGGCTGCATCGAGCAGAAAAGCGGTAAGAGCTTCCCGTCACGCTGCTCGCAGCTTTGCAACTGTTGTAAGATTTTCTGCCGAACAATGCTTAGCCATTTACGCTGCTCCAAAGTTTACCAAGCAATCCAGCATATTAAAAGTATGGAAAAGTTGAAAAAAATGTCAGTCGACTTAGCAAACATATTGGAAAAGCGTAAACCTGCTGGTGTTGTTTAGCAGAAAATCTTATAATAATTGCAAAGTTGCAGACAGTACAGCGCGAAGCACTTGATAAACTGTTTTTTTCCACAGAATGTAGTCGTTGGCGAATGTAAACACTTGTGTTTGGAGAGAGCGTTATCAGCATAATTGCTATTCTATTTTCGTCGCTTTAGACGTAAATAAGTATGGAAAAACGTAATTGCGCTAACAGCGCGCACGCTTCTCGAATATAAACATTCTGAGTAGAATATTTCGGAGCTAAACGAACACTGCTGCCCAGCTATTCAGTGAGCATTTTGAGAGAAAAAGTTATTGAAGATGACTTTTTGACCTTGATGAAAATCTCTTAAAAGCGATATAAAAAAGTAGTCGTTCTGTAAGACGTCTTTTAAAAGAATTTTTATATGATGTCTATTAACACGGAACATGACGTTCTCTAAGAATAAGAAAAGTATTTCTTGTGCATTTAGTGCGATCAATAAAAACAAATAAAAAGTTTTTGTTGCCCATAACATTTAAAATGCTGTCAGAAAGTGATACAAAGTTATTATTATTTGTAATACTGGAAAGGAAACCTCCATTTTTGTTTAAATTGTTTTAATAAATTACGTTAATTTTTGATAAAGCATTATATTCTCCATTTATTACTTTAAATTCCTCAAGGACTGACGTCACCTAAATGAAATGTTCATCCTCGATAATGACCGGCGCGGCGGCGTAGCCTAAACAAAAAGTTTAGCGCCGGTTTGTAGGAGCCGGCGTGGTATTTAACGTGTTAAACTATTTATATCCAAAATTGCACAAGTTGTACACGTGTATATTTAATAACTTAATTTAACATAAAACTACAATAAGGAAAAAGTTTAATGTTTCTTAAGCTTATTTGTTTTTAAGATATTTTTGCTTCCTAAGAAAATGTTAATTGCGACTTTGACGACTATCGCCAGGAAATATACTGCAACTATGATACACGCTATTACAAATCCGTAAACGTCGATCAGGTTTGTCTGCCACCACGGCATGTCCATTGCTGGAGAACGTAAGGCGTTTGGACCGTTGCGGATCACGTATTCTGTCCAAAAGATCGCTACTTCTCGCGCTGTCATTGGTCTATCCTTAAAACGTAAAGCCTCGCGTTTCGCATTCTCTCTAAAGCGCAAAAATTTCAAGATGTCAATAATTAAGCAAGTCTTATTTCAATTGTACTTAACCCATTCGAGACGGCGAATTTTTTCGAACACGGTCCCCAGGAGCGAAATTTTTTTTTCTTTATATTGTTTATTTTTAATAAAAAAACTTGTTTACAATAGAAATCACCCAATTCGTAAGTCAATTCGCACAAATAAGATGATTGCACACCGTGTGTGCAGCTCGCTCCTCAGAAAATTTTTATTGCGGGGAGCAGATTGAACACCATGTGTGCGATGTAAAGTAAAATAAAAATTCACCATTAAGATTGATAAACATTTATGTCAAAAATAGTTAGATAACATAAAATCGTTATTTTGCTTTCAATAATGAAGAACAGAATATAATGCAAAGAAAAATTTTAAGAAATAGTAAAAAGTCAAAAAAATAAAATTGAGCAATGAAGAAAATAATATAAACGAGGAATAAATTTTTAGAAAAATGTCTAAAGGTAATAAAGTAATGTAACTCAGTAATGAAAAAGAACTACGCGTAAAACTATCGTGCAAAGGCCGGCGACACCACGTTGGTGCCGTTTGTGTTTTGATTGTGTACTATTGGTGTTCTGTTTGTGTTCTGTTTAAGTAACAAAAAAGAATCCCGATTAGACGTGCGGACGGCATAGTGTTAAAACCAATGCCAAATTTTGTTTTCCTATACTTCACAGATATTTTTAATTTTTAATTTAAACACACGGTGTGCAATCATCTTTTTTGTGCGAATTGACTTACGAATTGGGTGATTTCTATAGTAAACAAATTTTTTTATTAAAAATAAACAATATAAAGAAAAAAAACAAATCTTATCTCGACGATCACTTCACTCAGAATGAGTGATAATTGCTCTTCATTATCATTGCACACACGGCAACCAGTTTTATAGCCACGTAAATCCATTGCACACACAGTGTGCAATCGGTCTCGAATGGGTTAAAATAACTTTTCAAGACAGATTATATTGTAGGATTTAACATTATTGTTTACTTACGTGTAGCTGGGATTATTTAACACAGCGTCGAGTGCAGCATCTAACACTTCTTCAGATATATCGTCGTAACTTAATTTAATCCCCATACCCTTATGCACGAAAACGTTAACGTTTCGATGCTGGTCTCCGAACAAGGGTATACCTATCATAGGTACGCCATTATAAAATGCTTCCAGGGATCCCATCATGCCGCCATGTGATATAAATACCCGTGTATTTTGATGTCCTATGTGAAATACATCGAAATATATTTTTATAAAATCAATTTTCATCAAAATCTATATATTCCTTTTTAATAATATAATTTCTTTTAAATTAATCCCTACATATCTCGTGAAAATTAGGTATTATAAAATGTACCATACTTTTTTGAAGAACAAAGGAGATGAATGACGATGAGAATTTGTAATTAAATTTTGATATGTAATTGCTAATAATTGTAATTGCTGTAATTGTAATTGCAATTGTTAAAACTCACTCAATATTGCCATCTGCGGTATCCACAATGTTGTAATAACATTACTGGGGAGACCAGGTGGCATCTTGTCTTCATTTGTAACTTTCATCAGTACTTTAATGGGCGCAATTTTTCTGAAAGATTCGTATAATCCGAGTATAGAACTGTTTGGCATCGATTCAATATTCATCAAAGAACCCAAAGAGAAATATATTACGCCATCCTCTGCGTCGTCCATCCATTTTTGAAATTCCTACAGAAGTTAATGTAACGAGTAAGCGACCAGACATTCTTAGTAGGACATTCAACATTAGCTATCTGTTAAAAAATTGTGTATATCTAACTGTAAATAATTAGACATAATTAGATACGTTATATATAAGTTATATATAAGTTATATATAATTATATATAAGGTGTCATGTGTATGAAATTTGACCACATATAACAATATATTATTATATATGAAGTAAAATGTGAATATATATAAATATATACAATGAGTTATATATTAGTATATGGAAACATGTATATTTTAATATACAATATGATGAAAAAAATATTGACACCACGAAATATTTCAAAAATACAAATTTTAATGAAAACTGTTTTAGATAAAAGTTATAGAATTTAAAAAGATCTATTTATTGATTCTATCAGTTCGATCCTCAAGGTCGCCCAGGACGCCACGAATCTCAGGACAATGTCATTTTGGATTTTTTAAACAGAACGTCCTATTTTTTATTGCATATTCTTATGGCCCTTAGTGTAAACATGTGTGCAATTACGTATTTAATATTGCATTCATTATTACATAAGCGCTGCAAACACAGAATCGTTCTACGATATCTACAGATATCGGTGTCATCACAATGTTTCATGTAAAATATTGAAAAAATCGGATCATCTTATATTTCTGATCTGCGGTCTCTTGAATATAGAGAAATTAGTGGATGCATTCTACCGATGCATTTTAAAAATAAACGATTAATAATAAATGGAATAATGTTGCTATTGTGCTATCATAATGCTGCTGCACCTTAATTAGACTTAACAATATTCATCGATGAAAAACCTGAATGCTACTACTTTATTAAATTCCTTATGTTCGAAGGCAAATAATTTTATTTATTTATTGTAACATACCGAGGTTAATTGTGATCGATCCATTTCCATATGCAGTCCTCCGATTTCGATTAAGCTGGGAGTAACGGGTCGAATTCCATGGAAAGAATAATGGCTATTTACAAACACTAACGCCAGGTCTTTTTCGATTTCCCGAACATCTGGCATATCTTGTCGCAGGTACTTTCTCATCGCATCAGTTTGAGGTGATGAATAGTAATTAAATATGCGTGGCTGAATGAAATTTTCAATCGTGTTGGACAATCGTTGCCAAAAATTCACAAGCACGGGATATTCCACGAAAAGGCCGGGAAAGAAGGAGCTGCTCATTGGATTTCCCATAACTTCACTTATGTAGGCAAATTCTAGACCCGTCACGATACTTATTACTGGTACGTTCAAAAATCGGCCAAGCCCAAAGTAACAACTTGAGCCAAAATACTAAAAAATGCATAAATCGATGTATAGACAACTTGAATTTTTTATAAATGATTAATCGACTCAGAAATTCCTCACTTTAAGCCGCGAAGAAGGAATAAACATATCGACCGTACTTCGATTTGCTCACCTCCGTGATAACTAGATCGTAAGGCGGATCGTTAGGTGGATTCTTGATGAACTTTTGCATCTTTTCGTGACCCATCAGGGTACACAAATCACTTCCATAGGTGGTGGCAATATGAAATGTTAATGCACTATTTAAATCTTTCACAAAATTCATGGTGAAACTATTGACAATGGCCTTTTTGGTTCCTTGCAGGTTCACTATATCCGTATAATTCGCTATGAGAGTGTTAGATGGAAAATGACTGATCATATCAATCTGATGACCATGTTGCGCTAAAGCTTTACACAGCTCTCCCGTCACTTGAAAATGACTTCTCCCGTTGTGAGGGAATATACATAAAATACGGTATCCTTGAATCGGCGATATCGTTAACAGTATTAATATTAACAATGAAGAATGGAGATATTTCATTCTTTTAGTTTTGTATGAATCACACTACCAAATAAATATCGTGCTATACGATAATTAACCGTATTGATTATGTACTATATATCCAGAGATGTATATAAAATACATACACGCACATTAATAAAGCCTAATAAAGGAGCAAACAACCTTATGTATTCGAAGCGAAGTTTTCCCGTGCACTATTCCATGTATCATTGTGAGTCGTTCTTTTATAGAGAGATAAGGTTCGTCATGGATCAAAGGTTATCAGCAACATCACTCGAATACGTATAAATTGCTAATGTGACATTTCCATTTGTTGTGAAATATAAATCGTACATGAAAAGAAACTAGTATTGGATGATATAGTAATCGATAATGTCAGAGTTATGATAAATTGGCTTCAGCCGTGTGTGAGAAATATATACACAAAGCGTATGCCGTGGACGTATGCGTTCCAAAGTTCGAATATTTGTCTTCTATCCTTTTTCGAACAAGTTGGCCACGATACGACGTTCCCTCTACCGCAGCTAAGTCGACTTAATACTCTCATTTACGGCTGATAACGTCGACTATATACGAGTACATTTGTAGATTCTATTTATATATAACGTGTTAAATGTAATGGGGTGCATAATCTATACAACGTTTCCATCAGTTTAAAGAAAAGGTTATAGGAAGAATATTCATCTGTTTTAAACAAGCAACAATTCCTAACTAAAAAAAATTAAAAAATTTTTCGTAAAAAATCAATATCACCTTGAATTTTTTAATGTTACAATGCTATTTTTTTACTAATATTATAGAGGACTTTTAAAAGAAATTAAATCATTATTTAGAATATCACTTTTATATATAACAATAGAAACACTGTATGTAAGGAACTTATATAAGGAAATATTCAAATTGCTTGCCTCCCTCTATAATATAAAATTCTGCTCTTCTTAATAAATTACAATACGTAAAAACTATTAAAATATTTAGAATCAAAATTGCACAAACTGCACACGTATATATAATAATTTCATTTAATACAAAAATTCGAAAAAGAAAAAGTTTAATATTTCTTTAGCTTATTTGTTTTCAAGATACTTTTCTTTCCTAAGAAAATGTTCATTACGACTTTAACGATCATTGATAAGAAATATACTGCAATTATGATACACGCTATTAAAAATCCGTAAACATCTATCAGATTTGTCTGCCACCACGGCATGTCCATGGTTGGAGAACGTAAAACGTTTGGACCGTTGCGGATCACGTATTCTGTCCAAAAGATCGCTACTTCTCGCGCTGTAATTGGTCTATCCTTAAAATATAAAGCCTCGCGTTTCGCATTCTCTCTAAAGCCAAAGAATTTCAAGATGTCAATAATTAAGCAAATCTCAATTTTACATAAAGTAGACAGACTTTTGAGACAGATTATATTGTAGTAATTGGCATTTTTGTTTACTTACGTGTAGTTGCGATTATTTAACACAGCGTCGAGTGCAGCATCCATCACTTTTTCAGATATATCTTCGTAGCGCAATTTAATACCCATACCCTTATGCACGAAAACGTTAATATTTCGAAATTGGTCTGCAAACAAAGGTATACCTATCACAGGTACGCCATTGTAAATTGCTTCCAGGGATCCCAACATGCCGCCATGTGATATAAATATCCGTATATTTTGATGTTCTATGTGAAAAATATAAAAATAATACATTTTTATATAATTAATTTTCATGATCAAGACTTATATATTCTTTTAATACTATAATTCCTTTTAAATTAATCCCTACATATCTCGTCAAAATTAGATATTATAAAATGTACCATAAATTTTTAGAAGAACAGAAGAGATTGATGATGAATGACGATAAGAATTTGTAATTAAATTTTGATAGATAATTGCTAATTGTGTTGATAATTGTTGGTAATTGTTATAATTGTTAAAACTCACTCAATATTGCCATCTGTGGTACCCATGAAGATGTCATGACATTACCGGGGAGACCAGGAGGCAACTGGTCTCTATTTGCAATTTTCATCAATACTTTAATGGGCGTAATTTTTCTGAAAGAATCGTACAATCCCACTAGAGAACTGTTTGACATCGTTTCGATATTAACCATAGAACCCAAAGAAAAATATATCACGCCATCATCTGCGTCGTCCATCCATTCTTGTAATTCCTGCAACATTAATGTAATGAGTAAATGATCGAACATCCTTGGTAGAATATTCAAGAATGTTCAATTATTAATAAAATACATTTTTCAAGATATTTCGCCTTCCCGGGATTTTTCCTTACCCTATATAACTGTACACACATACACACAATGCGCTGTCATAATACTGCTACATCTTAACTAGAACTATCAATATTCATTGTTTAAAAAACTCAATGATTCTCCTTTATTAAATTCCTTATGCTTGAAAGCAAATAATATTTTTATTTTTTGTAACATACCGAGGTTAATTGAGATCGATCCATTTCCACATGCAGTCCTCCAATTTCGATAAAGCTGGGTGTAACGGGTCGAATTCCATGGAAGGAATAATGACTATTTACAAACACTAACGCCAGGTCTTTTTCGATTTCCCGAACATCTGGCATATCTTGTCGCAGGTACTTTCTCATCGCATCAGTTTGAGGTGATGAATAGTAATTAAATATGCGTGGCTGAATGAAATTTTCAATCGTGTTGGACAATCGCTGCCAAAAATTCACAAGCACGGGATATTCCACGAAAAAACCGGGAAAGAAAGAGCTGCTCATGGGATTTCCTATAACTTCGTTCATGTAAGCAAATTCCAAACTCGCCACGACGCCTATTATTGGTATGTTCAAAAATCGACCAAACCCAAAGTAACAACTTGAGCCAAAATACTAAAAAAATGCGTAAATTAATGTACAGACAACTTTAATTTTTTGGAAATGATTAACCGACTCATAAGTTCATCTCATTAAGCGCGAAGAAGGAATAAACATATCGACCGTACTTCGATTTGCTCACCTCCGTGATAACTAGATCGTAAGGCGGATCGTTAGGTGGATTCTTGATGAACTTTTGCATCTTTTCGTGACCCATCAGGGTACACAAATCACTTCCATAGGTGGTGGCAATATGAAATGTTACCGCAGCATTAATCTCCTTCGCAAAGTCTAGAGTGAAACTATTGACAACGGCCTTTCTGGTACCTTGCAGGTTCACTATATCCGTATAATTCGCTATGGGAGTGTTAGATGGAAAATGACTAATCATATCAATCTGATGACCGTGTTGCGCTAAAACTTTACACAGCGCTCCCGTCACATGAAATTGACTTCTTCCATTGAAAGGGAATATACACAAAATCCGGTATCCTTGAGTCGACAGTACCAATAACAATGCTAATATTAACAATGAAAAGTGGAGGTACATCATTTCTTTAGTTTTATGTAAAACACTAACAAATAATTGCGTTGTGATTATCAGTCGTATTAATTGTGTTGATCGAATGTATAATCTTCAGAAATGTGTACATAAAATATACACAACACTAACTTCGCACAGTAAGGAATTAAACACATTTATATTCTCGCGACAACGTTCGCTCGAGCACTGTTTTATATATAGTCGTGAGTGGTTATTTGATTGAAGTACATTTTTTATCATTTAGCATTGTTATCAATATAATGTGAGAATGTATTAAAGCCGCTGATGCAGCATTGCCTTGGGTATTAATGAAAACATGAGCATTAGAGAGAAAACTAGTTTGATCTGCTACAGAAGTGGTCCGGCTGGAATTCTACATATCACGAGTAAAATGTATCTGTATTTTGTATCTGCTAAAAAATTTTCTATAGTACGTATTCTAACAAAATGCGCAGAAAAATGTAGTATCTATTACTAACTTTTAGTAAGAAATACGACTGTTCTTCATTTGGATGGGCTTCTCAAGAAACTTTACTGCTAGATTAGATAAACATTTCAGATAAAAATTTTATTTTCGTCATCTACATTGATTAAATAAAACACGTGTGACATTGAAATGTTTGGTACCCAAATAGCACAGAGGTGAATAGAAATTATAAAGAACTAATTTTGGAGAATACATACTGCATTAGATAAATGAATATCTGAAGAATTCGTAAAGAATTAATCACAATCAATTTGTCTTGAAGCACAATTCAGAAATTCATTATAACAAATATTTTCTGATTAAGTACTTTGCATACTCTGAGCATTCGTGAAGAGGTCCGAATGTTTTGCTTGTTACAATTATTTTATATTGTTAATTACAATTATTCCTGTGGACTGCGGACAGCAGATACTTGTGTTACTTTCAATGCTTTATGTGTGCATTATCATAATTCGTACTTTCTTTACAAATAAAGGATATCTTGGTATAGTAAAAACAATAGCGGCACCGATGACGTCATTGATTCATAAGAATACTGAACTTGGCTGATTTTAGAAATTCCTGCTTTGCAACTTAAAATTGTGACCACATATGATACAATTCTTCATGTTCGATGAACACTCCGAGAGTTGCACAGCCATGTCATAGTGCATGTGCATTATAAACTACCTTCCACGGTTCGGTTGTCTTAGCAGCAGCGACACAGTTTCGCTGGCTTGCCATCTCGCTTGTTTTTACTGACGTCCTGCAGCTTAAAGTCTTCCGTTATCTCTGCCTGGTTCCTGATAAACGTTCTACCCTTTTCTTCAGGGTCTCTGTACTTGTTCCCTTGAACCCTTCTAAACGTTTTCCACAAAACCAATCGTTTCGTACAGAGTTTTTAATCGATATCATTCAATAAGTTTTATTTTGAAATTATCCTCTTTTATTTTAATTTACCTAATTACATGTGTGTGTGTGTTTGTGTGTGTGTTTAATATAAAACTGCAATGAAAGAAAAGTTTAATATTCCTTTAGCTTATTTGTTTTCAAGATACTTTTCTTTCCTAAGA